ATATATATATATATATCCTGATGGATTTGGGTGATTATAGGTAGATTAAGACTGCCTAAACCGGGTGTGGTTTAAACCAGTGTGCACACCTCTATTCCTAGCACTCTGGGAGACTCAGGCAGAAGGATCACAGGTTCTAGCCCAGGCTGGGCCACTTAAAAATTTAATGAGAACCTGTCTCAAGACTTTACAAAATATAAGAAGGGCTAGTGATATGGCTCAGTGAGAAGGCTCTGGGTTCAGTCCCATATACCACACACACACACACACACAACTTCCTGATCTTGGATGGTCTTGGAGTCAACTCTAAAGACTGCCTGCTGCTTCCCTGGCTAATCCTAAATGAAGGTTGTGGAGAAACTATAATTATTAATTAGAATCCAAATTTTAGTAATTTACACTTACTAAGACCCAAATGAAGGAATAATCATGTTTTGTCATATGTGAATATTCAGAGGCAGTTCATACTGAAGGGGACAGCACCCAGGATTCCTTGTATGGGTTTAGAATATTCTGTTAAAACAGTCCGATTGCGCAGAGACTCCTTAGGTGATCACTTCAGCTGGCTTCCTCTCACTTGATCCCTACCTATTCATTTTAAGATTCTTATGGACTTCTCAAAGGGAAAGTCACAGGAAGTTTACATCCCAAGACCTTCCCAGCCTCACTAGCTGTTCCTCTTTCTTTATGTACAGATGTACTTTACAGAAGTCTGACTTCAGTTAACGCAGATTTGCGGTAACTGGAGAATCCATCACAGTTCATTCACCGAAAAAGTGTTCATGGAAAGCCTGCTCTGGGGCCCCTAGGGTTAGAGCAGAAAGGAAAACAAACAATTAAACCAACAGCTCAGAAAGAATCCCTTACCTTTAGAACTTCTATTTTCATAGAGGAAGAGAGACAAAACCCAAAAATACAATGATATGTTCTGTGAAGAAAATAAAGCAAGATACCAGGGAGACAGGTATTGGGAACAGAAAGAAGTGTGTTAATACTTTCTAGGCCAGACCTAAAACGGCCTCTGTGGGCCTGGGAATTGGCAAACACAGGAGAAAACTGAGTCTCAAGTTTAGAACTTCTAGCTGGGTACTTAGAATCCCAGGGCTCTAAAGCTACCGTGTTGGATCTTGCCTCACCCAACAAAAGACATTTGCTTCATAGCTGACTCCATCCCTCTGGATCATTCTGAGTACCTTAAAGCTGAGGAGACCGCATCACCTTGATTCCCCTTCTGCACAGAGTTCTCTCCTGTTTGGTTAGAAAGTGAGAATGCCACTTGATCCAACCTAATCCCTTTCAAATGTCACAGACATCTTTGAAGTGTGAAATGTCTGAGATTTTCAAAGCTACTTTTGACTTAATGGGGCTCCTAGAGCCCCTTCTCTTTACAACTCCAGGTCACACTGACATTTGCCTTCTGAAAGTACATTTGCCACCCGCCCTTCTTCTTCTTCTGGCCTTGCCTTTGAACTTGGTCTAATCAGCCATGTGGATTAAGAGGCCTTGTCAGTAAAGAGGAAAACTGTTTTTCCAAAAGATTGGCCTCTGGAGTTTGGAGACTATTTTGTTTTCTTTCTTTCTTTTTTTTTTTTTTTTTTTTTTTTTTTTTTTTTTTTTTTTTTTTTTTTTTTTTTTTTTTTTTTTTTTTTTTTTCAGTTGTGTTCTGAAGCAAAATTGCTTGGAGCATTGTCATGCAAGTTATGATTTCTGTAGAATTTAAACACACTGCAGTCTTTGGGAAAAGAAGCCACAGTTTTTGTAATGAGTCAATAGAACAGGGACAAACAGACCACAGTGCTGTGAACTGCTGAAAACAGTCACACTCTCCGTGTAGACAGGAGCCTAGGTCCTGAGCCTCTTTTTAGGTAATTACAAACTTAATGAATGGAAATGTGAAACTTGCTTGCCTCAGGGTTTTTGCTCTTTCTCCTGGCATGGAGAATGGTTACAACTGGAAAGAAATATTTTATGGGAAACCTTCAAGAAGAAGTAAGGTGTTACTGCAGCCATTAACATTACATCACTTTCTGAAAAGCCCATTCTATAAAGTTTTTTTTAACCAAGCCGTAAAAATCTTCCCTTTCCTATTCCATCCTTAACAGTCCCATAGTTTATACTTCTGTAAGCCAAGTTTACCTAAAATTTGGAATTTCAGCTTATTCAACTCCTTGTATACCCTCAAAATAAATATTAATTTAACAAATGCTAAACACCTGTTCTGTTCAACTTTACACATTGTAGAGCAGGGACCAAGGAAGACAGAATTGCTTTATGTCCCTGCTTTTCTTCCTTTTTGCCACACCAATATCTATGAATTACTAAATCTGCCAGTTAATGTTTTCATTATCACAAGAAGCAACACTGAAATACAGAGGCACTTTTCTACTTCTAAATGATTAGCGAATAAACACAGGGAAAATCCAATGTGGATGAAAAATAGGACAAAACTATTTAATCCCATTAGTGAACTCTTGCCCAGTCACTCAGTGGCTTCTAAAGAGACTGTCCTGCCCGTGGCTCCTGTTCTTAACTATGTTCCCTGTCCTACCTGTCCCCACATGCCACGTCCAAGGTTAGAGTCTGTGTCACTGACCGCACCAGGAAAGGCCACAAGCTCTCTGTGTCAGCTCTTGCTTGTGGTGCGTGTAAATACATCTTCATTCAAGAATTAGAGAACGGGTCTGGGATTTAGCTCAGCGGTTCGGTGGCCTGCCTCGCAAGCGCAAGGACCCGAGTTCAATCCCTGGTACCAAAAAAAAAAAGAATTAGAGGAGGGCTGGGCATTTAGCTCAGTGGTTCTGCCACCTGCCTCTCAAGTGCAAGGACCCAAGTTTGGTACAAAAAAAAAAAAAGAACTAGAGAAGGAAATAGTGGCTCGTGGTGTTTTAGCAATTATTGACTCAAAGTGTATTTATGTCAAGTGGAAACTTAAATATCCTTTTAAAGGAACACTTTCAATGAAGCCACAGTGTCTTTCAGATGAACACAGTAGTTTTGAACTATTTTTTACCAGATGCTAGTAAAATTAATGTCATATGACCATTTATAAGTTAGCAAAGGAGGCTCTCAAAAGCAATAAAAGTTTTGTTGCTGTTGTTGCTGTTATTTGCTCAGATGTTCACTCCCAAAGCGAAACAAGGAATTGTCGAATATGAAAGGAATATTTCTAATCCAAAACAGCACCAGATGGTTAGTTCCCAAATTAGCTACCCTGCACTTTTAAGAGTCGGTGCATTACCTGCATTTTTGCCACGGTTGTCTCAGTTTTGTGTTGTTATTCTCCAGAGCAAGACGGAGGAATAATGAGAACTTGTGTTTCTGTTCCTAGAAAACGGGCAGATGTATATTCAGAAAAAGCCAACCATGTACCCGCCCTGGGACAGCACCTTTGATGCCCACATCAACAAGGGTAGGGTGATGCAGATCATCGTGAAGGGCAAAAACATGGACCTCATCTCTGAAACCACCGTGGAGCTCTGCTCCCTGGCAGAGAGGTGCAGAAAGAACAACGGGAGGACAGAAATATGGGTAAACATCAGGGCTGGGAACTTCATTTAAAGTGCATGCCCGGTGATGATAGCTGATGATCGCTCAAAACCTCCCTGTCGTCCTAAAAGTATGACTACGGTGGCTTTGGGTAAACAAACTCCCTACCACTAACTAAACGCTGATTTGGTAACACTGGCAATTACTCATTATGGACTACAAAATGTACTGACATGTGCAAGTCAGAACTGACACATTTGCTCATGGAGCGTGAAGGCATCTCAGGCTACAAAAATTGCTGTTGATTTATAACTGCTGAAGTAAGCTTGAAAATATCACAAAATCCCCCTCATTGGGGAACCTTACTACTTTCTGTCAAGACATTTGAATGTGATAGGTCAGAAAAAAGATCTATTTAATGTTTGCTCTTCTCTTTCGACATTTTACTAATTCTACCAATTTAATCTTGCCCAGAATGAATTCACTTAGTTTACTTTGTGTTAAGCATATCATTCACAACTCATGGTACCACACCCAGTTTTTGAAAACAAACTGTTTGGGTAGCCGATGTTTAGAAATGCTAAAGGGAAAGTAATATGTGAAAGCATAAGAAGTTCTAATAAAAATTTCTGGGGTACAAAGTGCAACAAAATATATCACTAAAAGCTTTTCTTACATTGTCAGAAACCCAGAATGTGTTTTCAAACATTTGTATCCTTTATGCAGAAGAAGAGAATCTTGCCTTTCTGCTTCTTGATCTCTATAGAACAGGTTTTAGAAATCCACGCCAGATACACCCAGTCACAGATTTCACATGGTAATGATATAAGCTTAGAATCTACATTTTTGTGTTAGCTTTATATTTTTGACCTATGAAAAAGGATTTTGGGACAGTATAAATCTTTCCTTATATCACTAAAGTAATCTTAAAAGACAAATATGTGCCAAGATTTATTTTTAAAAGGTCCCCATACTTAGGTGTGAGTAATTTTTCCTTAGACGTGTCTGGATAATGTAGTTTAGCACAATCCATTGAGCATTTCTGCATGCAGCTTGGGGAAAGGGATTATGAGCCCAAAGCTCCAGTAAGGTGAGTGCTTAGACAAGTGGAGAGCGTGTTTCAAGAACCATACAGTGTCACAGATGTTTAACTTAGTATCAAGGAGTCTACACAGGCCAGGCAAAGAGTGGTGGGACCCCCGTGGGGCCCAGAGTATAGAACGTTTGGCTTGGGGGGACGAAAAAAGAGATAAGCAACTGCCAGTCTCCCCCAGTACCCAGATGCCCAACCCCATTTGTTTTCTGCTTTCTGCCTTACTTTTTTTTTTAAAGAGTCATCAACTCTCTAATTTCTAAAATAAGATCCTATTTGTGCTTCCTTCTCAATGAAGGGAAGAATAGTGAGTTTCTTTTTTTATCCTTTTAGTAATTAGACTTCACTGATAAGCAGTTTTCTTTTTTATCTCTTGAAATTGCATTTGAGTCCATCCCTAGCTTTTTGCTGAATTTCGTAGACATCCCACGATCTCTGCAATCAAGGGTGGTACGTGGAAGGGACTGAGACAGAGTCAGCATAAGCACAGATCTGCACTACCCAACTAGCAAAATTCTCCCATATTTAAGCCTCAGATTTCTGTTCAGGGTTATTTCTTGGTTAACTTTACTTTAAGAGCCAATGAGTTATTTTGAATCTATATTTTCCCTTGCTTCTATTAAAACCTACTTTCTCCAGGGGATTTGTTTTCCAGGGCTGGAGGTTGAACCCGGGGCCTTGTTCATGATAGGCAAGTGTTCTACCATCAAGCTACACCCTCAGCCCCATGAAATCTGCTTTTTCCACATTAATTTCTCTAAAAAATATTTCCTCCAATTTGTCCCGAGTCTTTATAGTCACCATCCTGCCTCCAGACCCTGCAGCAAGCCTTGCCTTCTACTTTCCCAAGGTTGCATCTGCTGACGTGGTTAATTCCTGTTCACTCTCAAACATGATAAGACAGCACTCCTGGAGGGTACTGTCTGTGCAGGTTCTGGCTGGTTTGATTTCCTCCATCACCACATGTCCTGAACATTGATAATACTGTATTCATGTGGCATTGATTTTCACCACTTTGTTTAGGAATGAGTCCCTAATTCCTCACTTCTCTTGTTCTAATTTTACCTCCAGTTTTAGTATTTATTCCACAAACTTTTTTTTTTGGTTTTTTGAGACAGGGTCTCACTATGTAGTTGAGACTGACCTGGAACTCACTATGTAGCTCAGGCTGGTCTCGAACTCACAGCGATCCTCCTGCCTCAGCCTCCCTAGTGCTGGGATTACAGGCGTGCGCCACCACGCCTGGCCCACAAACTATTTATTCCACATTTACTCCATGGTGTCTGTGCTTGATGGTAAGAGCCCTTCTTTCTTATCTGTTTAAGCTTGTTTGAGAATTTCTAGTTGGTTAAGCAGCGCAAGCCCATTTTATCATAAATCTTAATAGTGACACTGTGACATAAGGTTTGCTATAATATTGGTTTTTCTAGACAGAGATCTTTAAGGCTCAGTGACTCATACAAGATCACAAAGCCAGGAACTTATTTAGTCATGGTTCAGATTCAGCCCTGAGTTCAACAAAACAACTTGTATTATTTCTCTCTTATCCCAGTTAGCCTACAGATATGATTATCAGTAGAAACTATCACCTTCCGTATTCTTTTTACTCTACTAATGGCACAGTGTGATGATTTCATATAGCGGGGGTATTCAGGTTATCCCTGATTTGTTCTTTTCTAGTTTTGTTGTCACATTTTATGAGATCCTGCATCTTCTCTTAAAATGACACTGTGTCTTGGTTCCTTCTACATAATACTCGTATATAATAATCTCTTCTCAGACCAATCTCTTTAAATTTTCTTTTAGCAGAGCATTCGGTATTTTTCTGAGGAAATAATTTATCCTTGTGAAGGAAACGAAACTACTCCTCCTGAGTACTCTGACTTACCTGCCTGTGCACCTGGAGGGGAGGGAAGAGGCTCCACAGGCCACCCACACAGGATTTACTTTCCTTCTAAAGTCCTGCTTTCCCCCAAGGGAGCTAGTCCTGGCCTCCGGGATGCTGTGGGCGTGATTAAGATCTGGATATACCTTTGATAGGTCTTCAGACAATCTATATCACAGGGCGAGAAAACTGAATAGAGTCTGTTTATCACTTTGTTTCTTTATGTAAATTTTGATCTCCAAGTAAAATCAATGAATTGCTGAGGTAGTGTAATAAAAGAAAGGCGTCATCACCGATGCGGCACTATTCCGATGGTAATGAGCATGAGCTAAGTGAAAAGAACAATGACGTTTCTATACTGGAAATCTCCTGCTGCACCCCAGGAGCCAGTTGTGGCGTCAGAGCCGGGCTGGCTTCCCATCCTGACGTTTCTCTCCTTCTCTCCCCCAGTTAGAGCTGAAACCTCAAGGCCGAATGCTAATGAACGCAAGATACTTTCTGGAAATGAGCGGCAAGTGACATTTCTTCTTCCGGTTTGGGGGTTCGGAGGGCATGGCCTTGGAGTACAATTTGTTTTATGTTTGCACTGATCATAGAAAAGAATAAGAAACAAGCATGTTTGCCTGAAATTCTCAGTGGTGCCCAGGCATCAGTTGAAAATAAGTATCTGGGCCAGATAAACGTAGAACAAATATAAAAATGTAAATATAAACGTAAATATTAAACTGTGTGTATTCTTGTCCCTGGCACGTCCATAGCCTGTCTTTATTTTAGTGTGGAAATTTAACATAAATATACAAAGTTCTGCTTATGTTTCTGTGTATGTATGCATTGTCTGTATATAATAGTGTTCTATAACCATCACTCTATCAGTAGAGCACAAAATAAGAAACTGATAATGTTTTTCCTTAAAACTAATGGCAAAAGCTAACGCTTAAAATGAGTCACAACATTTTTTTAAGGAACAGGAAGGGTAAAAAAAAGACACGTTGCTAAAGAGTTTCAGTTCCTTGTGTTGCACACGAACTCTGCTCCCAGAAGTTAAATTTACAAGCACCGTGCATCGGAGGTCAGTGTTGTCTAAATGAGTCAGTGATGTTACTCATAAAACCCTAAACTTCAGCACGAACGTGTGAACCTACTGATGTCAACTGGTTTTACTTTTTTTTTTCGAAATTAGTTCTATGGCAGAGGTTGAGTATTGCTTATCCAAAGTGCTTGAGACCAGAAGGGTTTCAGATTTTGGGGGTATTTGTGTGACTGTTACGAGATATTTTGGAAATAGGACTCAAGCCAAACATATAGTGCTTTTTATCCTGTATACCTTATGTACTTTGCTTGAAGGTAATTTCAAACAATTTTTCAATAATTTTATATATGAAATAAGGTTTCATAGATGCCGTTTCCCATCTTATTCTCAGAAAGTTTGTGTGAGCTGAGATTGGAGAGGATCCTGGATTTCAGGCTTTCGGAGTGGGAACACTCAGCTGATTGATGCCAATGACCACTGAGCTTTAGTTCAGAGATTCACGGTGCTTTTGCTTAACACACAACTCCTTCTTTGTCCAGATTCAAACAGATACATTGGAGAAGGCAATGCTATGAGACAATCAGGGAAAACCTGAATACTCACCAGGTATCTGTCAGTACGAAGCGTAGTTATTAATTTCCTAGATGTGAGTGTGTGTGGTTATATCATTAAAAAAGAAACTCACACTTTCATGCATATAAGCTGAGATACTCGTCAATAAAATAAGATGACAGCATGGGCTTGCTTCAGAATCATCAACTGGCACGGGGAAGGAAATGGACAAGGGCCCATTGGAAGACAGTAGCCATGAACCGATCATCATCAAAGATGAATGATTGATACTTGAAAACTGATTATTGTATTTACACGGCTTTTGTGTAAGTTAAATTTTTCCATAATAAAGTTCTTTATAAGAATTTTTAAATTCCTGAAGGACAATGTGCTCTGAATTTTTCTAAATACCTCTCGAGTCTCTAAAAATATAGTATATATAATTTACTATGTTTAAGTTGACAAATTAAGATGGAGTGAGTGGTACCTGAATAATTAGGAAAAGTACTGCTGTAAGTTGTAATAGCAGTGATGCTCAATTTCTTTTTTTTTTTTATTAAGTTTATCGGTACTTTTTAGGTATAAGTACAGTTACATTCATCACTGGGATTTTGTACCTTTACATGATGTGTCTTGGTTCTTATTTTTTCCCCCATGGGGTATGGGGATGCTTAATTTCTTGAACAAGAAAAAGTGTACTCTCCTATTAGTTCAAAATATGGTACAATGAAAAATGGAGAAAAGTTCCACTGGACAAAAACTGATGTTTGTAAATAATGTAAAAATCCCTGCTTTTGAAAAAAAATTGCATAGATATTTCTTCAGTTACTGTGGAATTTAAATGTTCCATTAAAATAAGAAAGTAAATACAAATGAGGAAATGGCAATACTATTTCATAAAAAATAATTACATAATCCTGGACACATTTTTAAAAACTTATAGCATTGAATTTTGATTTATCTCTAAATTTTTATATCTCTAAAAAATCTAATTTTAATAACCATTATTGTGAAATGAACTAAATAAAAAATTACTTGTTGATGATAAGAAGAAAGAACAGGATATTATTAAATTTTAAGAATGTTTGTAATTACATACAAAAAGTAGTTTCCTGAAGGATTCAGAAAAGCAAGATAAGAGTTCTTACACCCAGGAAATTCAGATTGGAAAAGTGATATAGATTAAACAGCTAGAAAATAATTATATTCTGTACTATATACAAACTAAATAACCAAGAGATAAATATGGATTGGCTTCATTCCACAATGTTCAGTAGAATGTTCACTAAAGGAGAGGCAGAATTAAGGTTTCTATCTTTTTTTAGTTAAAAATGAAGGCTTGAGTAAAACATGACATAGGTAGGTAGTGTGAGGAAACCAGGTAGACCAGCTGGCCCTGCTGAAATCCGAGGAGTCAGGTGCTGGTGGGCATAGAAACCTGACAAGAAGAGTCTGTAGACTTTAGCCATGCTTTGAGTTAATGGGACAAGTATACTCTTTCTTACTTATGAAATTAAACATCATTTGCCTATAGAATTACCTTTATGCTGTGGAGAATTGATGAGAATCTAGTCTAGGGATGTGGTAATGAGAGTGAAATAAAAGAAAAACATAAAAGCAACAGAGTAGTAGCAAGATTTTTATGGTAGTCTAGATGAAAGAAAATGCTTATTGTATGTACATAGTAGAGGTGCTTTATAATTATTTTAAAATGAAAGAGTCATGAAGGGAAAAATGTTGAGAATATCTCCTAAAATAACTATACTGGAAAAATAAGAATAATGGCATTAAGGGTATGAAAAAAGAAGGCAAATGAGTGGACAATAAGAAATTTTAACTTAGATAACACTTCAGTTAATATCATGACTCCCAAACCTTTCTTCAACAGAAGCTTGTGCTCTTCTCTAGACCATAATGAAGTAAGTGGCTCATCTCTACATTCACAGATCACTGCAGTCTTGCTCTGTGAAGATTTCCATTTGTTCATTTCTGTGCTGCAGTTACTTTTCCCCTTCCTCTGTTCTCTGTCCATCACTCTTGTAGCTTAAAAATTCACTATCATGATCTGATGCACTGCCCTCCTGTGTCACATCTTCCTACATATCATCCAGTTAGATATGAACCCTCACCCACATCTTCTCTCAGAATTCTCTGACTTTAAGAATGCAGACTCAGACCTTGCTCTCAGAGCTCATTTTTCTCCCCTGTCACTTCTGTCCTTCCTCTCACCCTGTAAATGCTACACGTTTCCCTTTCATCCTCTTCGTTACCCCACTTCTGGCATTAATTACTCATCACCACGGTCACCATGAAATCTTCTTGACAATACCTAGCTCTCATCAGTTCCTTCTTGTACCATGTACACTTTGATCTCGAAGCCTAGCATTCTCCCTCCCTTTCCATTTTCCATGTCTTTGCTAGAAAACACCACTCAGATGAGCCTGTTACAAACAGATGTTATTAGATGATGTTTAATTTTTCAGGCTGATATATTTGACTTCTCCAACTAAATTCCCTGTAAGTACTTTAAATTCTGTTGAATTTTCATTACACAGTGTAAAGGCAAACCAAATCATGTCAAAAGTACATCCAACCGTTTTCACCAGTAGTTCTTCCCTTTACAAGTAATTTTTTCTGGTTTTCTTTTCCTTTACCTCTACATTAGTCAACAATTTATGTTTATGTTGTCAACATATTAAAATCTTATCTTCTTTGCATTCTTACTCACTGTGTCTCAATCATACGCCTATGATGCTTCTAGAATAAATAGATTTGTGTCAAGCTGCATTCTTACTACATCTGCCTTGCCCTCTCCCTGCCCCTGCTAGTCTTTCAGTGTTTGTGGTTTATCTGCAAGAAAATATTCAAACCGGTCTAATATCTGCACATTCTCTTAGTGTGGCCCCTGATCTTTTCCTGCTACACACTCCCCACTCTAACAGTACTCCATTATTTCAGTGCCCCACTCTATCCTGAGAACCCTTATTTCTGTACTCTTGCTCATTCTCTTCCTGTTTGTTTTTCTCCACCATGCTTCCTCCTCCACATTAGTAAGATTATTTATTCTTCAGAACTCAGTTCAGAATCCTTCCCGCATATGCCTTCTTTGTCTAGTTTTTCTACATCTGACCTCCGCCTGCCTTAATCGGTGCAGTTTCCTCACCACCAGCATCCTGGGCATATTTCTACCCTGAGATTAACCACATAGTTGTCTTTCCTTCTAAACTCTCAACTCTTGCAAAACAGCGATGTTGGATGATCTTACTTATTCCCTTAACTCCAGCACCAGGTTGCAGTTAGGATGAAGAAAGAATATAATCATGGCTTATTAGATCATTTTGTTGCACTGCTCTTGACATTTAGAAGATTATTCCATTTCCTTTGACTCCTACACAATGGATTTTTCAAACATGCCCATCCTCCTTGGATTCTGAAGGTGTCTTATTTTCTCTCACTCTTGGAGAGGGGTACGGGCAGGTATGTTGATAGAGATTCTATCTTCTGCCTGTGCACAATACAATGTGGCTGTTTCCTCTTGCAGCCTCTTCTTTTTTTTTTTCATTAAGCTTATTGGTACATTTAGGCACACTGTACAGTTAACACAGGTACATTCATCACTGGGATCTTGTACCTTTACATGCCGTATCTTGGTTCTTATTTTTCCCCATTCCCCTGCCCTCCCTTCAACCCCTCCTCCCCTCCCTATTTGCATCCTCTTCTTGTTCCTGTGCTTCAGAGAAAGCCTCACCTTTTTTGACCTCAAGCTTCTCATCCCAGCAGCCCTGTTTTATCAAGTCACTTACTCCTAACATCGTCAACTCTCCCTTCTCCGTGACTTCCTACTCATTGTCAAGACACTGTATGAGCCATCTTCCCCTATTATGGAAAAAGTGTCCTTTTTTAACATTTTTACATCCCCGAGTTTTGCTCTTCTCTCTGTCACTGATACCTCTTCAAAACATAATTCATATTTATTGTCCTTTTTTATTTACTATTCTTTCAATTCTTAAACCCTCACAGTCTAGCTGAGTTTCCCCTAGTTTATGACTCCTCTAAACAAGTTCCTGGTTCCTGTTTCAATTTCCTTGACTACTTTCTATCAGTCAGTGCAGAAATCTACATTCTTTTTTCAACTTATATAATGTGATCATATCCAAGTTTTCACCTTAGTTTTTCAGCTGCCTCCTCTTAGACTCTGTAGTGATTCTTCTTCCTGCCTTCTAAGATCTATAGGTGCACATATCCCTGAGGATACTCCACACCATCACACACTGTCTCATACAGATAGCTGTTCTTTTTGTAAAACAGTGTGTCTCCCTGTTGTGATTGTAGCTGCTCAATGGTTAGGAATAAGATCTCAGATTCTATCAGAACACTTGGCATAGTCATTAATGCTTAGCTGCCCAGGGATGTGTTGTATTTGACTGCAAATAGGTCATATAAATAAAAAGATTTGGAGTCACTGTATCGAAAGAGATAACCAAAGCTATATAAATAAACAGGAAGCTTATTCAAGCCAATGAATAAAAGGGCAAATAACTTCAGAAATAACAGTTGATATCAAAAGAATCAAATCTTAAGCCAGGCGTGGGGGCACACGCCTGTAATCCCAGCACTTGGGAGGCTGAGGCAGGGGGATTGCTGTGAGTTCGAGACGAGCCTGCGCTACATAGTGAGTTTCAGGTCAGTCTCAACTACATAGTGAGACCCTGTCTCAAAAAAAAAAAGAATAAATCTTGTGTTCTTATACATTTACTCTATTATAATAATCAAAATGGTTTGTGCGTAAACAGGGGAGAGGAAGGAAGAAAGAGAACAATACATTTCTAGAAGTTTCTGTCATTTGTTAAATGCGTATGCTGCTGTCATATAGTTAGGGTTCCAGAATAATTCACTTGTATTCCCTGAGGTAAGAGAACTCTTACACTTTATTTCATTTTAATTCATTACATCTGACCAAGCCATAAATAAAACCAGATCTGACCAAAAAATAACCCATTATAGTGGGCAAAAATGATCCCCATGTGTGTACCAGAGCATGTGGCAGAAAACTACTAACTCAGTGACTCTAATTTAATCTCTCCTTCACCAAGCCTAATTTATTTCTATCCTTGGTGCAAATAAAATAACCTGAGTTGCTTAGCCTTCAAGTAACTGCACAGCATTGTGGTCCATCTGCAGAAGTCTTCACGGGGTTATTGGCATGAGGGCTTGGAGTTGCCATAAGACAGACCCGTGAGTCACTATAAAGAAGATGTGAGTCCTACAATGAGTCTTGAGCCTTGGCTACTTTGCTGTGGGACAAGTGTCCCCCTCCACAGCCCCTCCTTTGTCTTCCTAGTTTGTTTCTAGCCTAGTCAATATTAGGAATGGAAAAATAAAGTACCTTGGCAAAACATGTGCCTCAGGTGCATTGTCAGACCTCTGTCGCCTTAGCCAGAATGGTAATAGTTTAATTTCAATAGTGTCAACTCTGTACTTTTGAAATCTGATGAGCCTCTTATTCTTACTAAATTTTAATTTTTGTAAAAAAATAAGAGAAATGCAAGTGATCCAAACTTTTTCAAGGTATTAAATTATTATGACACTAGCCATTATTATCATTATATTTAATATCCTTTTTTAGGGAGGATAATTTTTTTACTGTTTCTTATGTTATCCTCTCTTGCCTGCTGGAGTGTTCATGCTGTTTAGCCATGCTTACCCTTCCATTTTGTATTCTTTGGGATCCTGAGCCACAGCTGAAACTCATAAATACTTTCAGAATTCTGCCAGCTTATGGCCCATCAGCCTTTTGGGAAGATGTCACCTGGGTGTACAGCACGGTGGACAGTGATGCTCAAAGCACTTTCACCAGTGTGCACAGGCCCAGGGTGGACTGAATACATGTGGATTTGATGGCTTGATATAAATGGTAAGACAATACATGGGTTTACCTATACATTTTTTTAATGTAGTTATCAATTTTTCTGGTCTTTCCCACATTAATTAGTACAATTGTAGCTAGTACAGTATATCTGATCACTGTGGCTATCAAAAACCATAGCATAAATACCTTCCCTTCCCAAAGTTATTTTGTCCTCACACAAAAGGATGGATGTTCCCTTCCGTCTGTGCCCAGCTGACTAAACATAACTAACTGTCAAATGTCCTGACCCTCAGAAATGCAGCTCCCAAGTTGCTCTCTGTCACCACAGTATTCTGTAGGGCTACATAAAGACTTGAAAGTTCTGACTTCTGGTTTTAAAATCTGAGAGAGAATAACCTCAGCTCAGCAAAAGAGATATGAAGGATGAAAACAACTGCATTCCAATCCTCTAATAATATACCCTGTGATAATTCCGTATTGTAGAATTAAGGAAAGAAGCCTGTATTTTACCCACTTTAACGCGTGTCTGAAATTGTGTTACTGTAGGGATGAACCGTGTCTGCCTCTCTTCCTCTCCCAGTTCCTGTCGCCCCCATGCAGCTGTGACCCTCACATTGCGGAATCTCACTTGGTCCACCCTTCTCTGCCTGCAGACACAAAAGACGTGGGTGAATTTGAGGCTGAAGGCTTCTTTGCTCTGCACCACCGCCGAGGAGCCATCAAACAGGCCAAAGTCCACCATGTCAAGTGCCACGAGTTCACCGCCACCTTTTTCCCACAACCCACCTTTTGCTCTGTCTGCCACGAGTTTGTCTGGTACAGTAACTTGGCCTTTTACTCCAAGCTTCAGGCTCTGCGTTTCCTCTTCATCCACAAAGTGTGGTGCACTCTGCTGTGAGGGGATACGGGGGAAAAGCACTGGGTGACAGTTGGCAGAGGCCTTGGCAGTCCTGAAGAGGTTTAGCGGGTATGATTCAGTGTGAGAACTTCACAGTGTGGCTCCTATAAAACAAGGTACACTCAGGCAAAGGGTCTGCGTTAGTCGGCATTCCATTCCTGTGACAAAATACCCAAGAAAATGAATTCAAAACGGGAAAGCTTTTGTTTTGGCTCATGGTTTCAGAGGCTTCACCGTGCTGTTGCCTGGCCTTGTCACTGTGGGTCTGTGGTGAGACAGGACCTCCTGGTGGAGAATACGTGGTAGAGCAGAGCAGCTCAACTCGAGGCAGACAAGAAGTGAGAAGAGACGCAGAGGGAAGGGGTCGGGTCTCAGTACTCCTTTCAAAGGTGATTCTCCAGGGGCATCCCTTCCTTCCACTAAGCTCCGCCTCCTAAAAGTTTCACCATTTCCCAGTAATGCCGAAAGCTGGCAATCAACACTTTGGCCATGACCTTTGGAAGAAAGGAGCATTTCCGGTCCAAACCATAACGAGGCCAGAAGAATTTTAATTTCTGAATGAAAGGCAGGCTGTTGGGGGCAAGAGGGAAAGAATGAGGGTGGTGTCTTCACGGTCAAAACTTTCACCACCTCAATAGGCCACGTGTACTGGTGTCTCTAAACGACAGGCAGAGCTTTCCCATTGTAATAAAGTAGTTTGATGTGGATGGTGCTTTTAGAGGGGATCAGTTTACACCTCAATAACTACATAGCAAAGGCTCTAGCAGAATAGAGACTTCAAATGACTCCTGTTTCTGTTCTCAGCGTCTGTGTCTATTAAAGGGTGTTCTTCCTTTAGGCTCCTGTGGAATGTGTTTATGCGCAAGTCCAACTTACCTAGGATATCACAGGTCAAAGAGATTTCAATGGATTTTTATTAACTTGTTTTCCTCTAATTACTTGAATCTTCTTTCTATCTAATAGTGAGTGCTACTTGGGAGTTGGTCTTACTGTTGAGCTTTGTTGGTTGCAAATATTCTCACCCAGACAGAGGAAATAACACATGTTATAGGTGTCTTTGTTCATCTACATATAAACAAAGACAATGAACTTTTAAATGAGACTGTGATTTTTTTTTTTAACTGCTGTTAGGAGCCTGTGATGAATATTGGTTAGGAATTGTAATCTTCGTGTGTACTTGACAAAGACAACCATGAAAAAGGAAACCAACAGCTCTTTATTTAATTGTCAGACCCTTAATAAACCAGCTTTAAAGACATTCTTGGCAAATGATATACTATGGCTATTACTTGGCAAAAGTGTCTGTGACCCTAAGAAGCTATGAAATGTGTCTCATCTCTAAAACAATTTTGGTGCTGATGTTGACATAAACATCCAAATAAATCAGTCATGTGCTTTGTTACAGGGGTCTGAACAAACAGGGCTACCAGTGTCGACGTAAGTAAGGATTTCTGTTGTCACCAGTTTTTAAATTTAACTTCACCTTAACTTCTAGAAATCTTAAATTACAATTTTTTTTCAGAATGTAATGCAGCAATTCATAAGAAGTGTATTGATAAAGTTATAGCTAAGTGCACAGGATCAGCTATCAACAGCCGAGAAACCATGGTATGTGTATATCATATGTTGAATCTTTTCTTTGATGTACAAAGATTTTATCCTAACAGTAAATTTTATAGTCTAGTAGTTCTTTTTAATAATGCCTGCCTGAACTGGAGTCCTTAAGCTCATCCATGAATATGAGTCTCCCTAAAACCTCTCCTTTTCAAAATGTTTTATTGATTTACCAAACTAGGAGACAAGTAAGAAAAGCACAGTAAGAACTTTAATTTGCAGGAAAAAAATGTAACAGAAAGTATGTCTCAGTTAAGTGTATGAAAATTAGCCCAGTGGTATGTACAGCTGGATGTGACAGTGAAGGAGTAAATAAAGGCAAGTGATTATAAAATATGGAGACATAAAAACGTAAAAGGTTAATAAGAGATGGTAGCAAAAGGATAATCCTAATGTTAAGCATAAATATCTCCTTTAGAATTAACTCAGAGATTTACTCTAAAATAGGTTAGATTTGACATCCTAGAGAAGGAAACCTTAGATGCAAGTCAAGCAGCTTTGTCATCATGAAATACTTTTTCTCCTCCCACCCTGTTCTTCATTCGACAGCTATTTGTTGTCTGGTTCATGAACAATATCATGCTACGTCAGATGCGTAGTGTAGCACAAAACAGGCATGAGCTCGCCTTCATGGACTTTTTGCAAACTTGGAAAAACATGTAATAAACCAACTGTGATCATTTTGATTAACGTCAGGTGCTATGAAGATAGCAAACAAGGTAGACGGGTGGAAAACGGCCAGGTGGCCTAAGGAGACCAGGTGAGCAGAGCACCTCCTCAAGGGAGGGAGCATTTGAACGAGACCTGAAGGTGAAAAGAGCCAGGTGTGACCAGCAGGAGGAAGAAGACCCTGAGGGGAAAGTGCAGCACATTCTAGTGACTGAAACGAGGCCAGTGTGGCGAGGCCCAGAAGGCCCAGAGAGAAGGGGATACAGGTGGGGAAGTCGGCAAGTCCCAAATCACGTGGGACCCTTCAAACTCTGGGAGTGCGGTTGAACATTAAAGAACGGCAAGCTCATCTTGTGATGCCACAGGAGCAATAGCGTGTTGAGATGCGAGAGTCAAACCTGTCGAGAGCCGCGACGTCGGGGTCCTGCCAGCAGGCCCCAAACCTGAGAGGATTCACCGAGAGTAAGCACACTGAGTCATGCTCAGATTCAAACAGATTTCTTTATTCTTCTTTTACTTCTACTTCTACTACTACTCTACTACTACTACTACTACTACTGCCAGACGGCTCTCACACTTATATCAAGCAATAATATGAAGGTAAAAACAGCTTCAAGGATGAAAAACAATCTCAAGGATAACTGTACAAGGCCACAATTATGGCTTCACAGAGTACACATGATTTACAAGAAACAGGTGCTTTTTCTGGAAAGCGAAACTCAGCTCTACAAAATAGTTATTGTAAATAATGCCATAAGATGGCAGCCGATCACGGCCAATCAGAACTTACAACATAGCAACTCCTTCGCTCAGGGAACTGCAATGCAAGCAGCCAGCTGTCTTGCAGGCAGTCTCCCACAAAACCAGAGAACATTAGAAGAGTCCTACAGGAGGGAGGGAAGTGGGTTGTACCGGTGCAATGACAGAAGAGAGGGAGCAAAGCCGGTAGACTTTTGGGTGGTTTCTATGACCGCCCTGACTGACAGCTGAGACGACACCGAGGCGGAAGCATCAGTGGACAGTTCCGAGCTTGGGATTCACGTGAGCCAGTGCACCAGCTCTACAGGTCAGAGGCTGATGACATTACAGGTGAAAGCTGCCTTAGAGATTTCCTCGTAATGGAGTTAAGAAAGAGGATGCCAGACTAATTGCAAAGGGATCTAAATTTGATGTTAGACAGGGGAAGAGAGAAAGATCGAGAACACAGGTTGGAAGAGAGCTTCCTGTACTTGGAGCACACGAGGTTCCAGAGCCAGAAAGCAAAGGGGTGAGTTATGTTCTACGCAACTGAGATGCTGAGGAAAATAAGGGTCACATGGAAATGTTTGCAGCCCGTGTTCAGAGAGATTTCAGGTTTGTGGAGTTGTTACTGTGGCTGATCTGTAATGAAGGTGACTGCAAGGAGATGGCACAGAAACAAGCTGTGCATTGGTTAACCATTGTCAAGAAGAAGATCCCTGAAGGAGGCCAGTAGCTGGAAGGAGGGGGTTCAAAAAGCTATGGGAGATACTGCCGACTAGGCAGAGACAGGTGAAGCTGAAGAGAGACGGACAAGTAAAGCATTCGAGTCTGCTGGCAAGAAGAGGTCCCAGCGTGTGCCGAGTTGGGTTCTGGATGGAGGGATGAATCATCAGTTTTAACAGGAAGGGAGTAAGGCAAAATGGGAGCCAATGAGCACAGGGTTTTTTGGTTTTGTTTTATTTTGTTTTGTTTTGTTTTTGCTGTAGTACTGGGGATTGAACCCAGGGCCTTCAGAGTGAGCTACATTTCTAGAACTTTTTGTTTTTCATTTTGAGACGGGGTCTCATTTAGTTACTGTGTTGCCCAGACTGGGCCCAAATTTATAATCCTCCTGCTCAGCCTTGTTGGAGGGTAGGTGAGGAAGCTTCTTTTAGCTGCTGGTATCCTCGATGGCTCTGCCCACTGAAGGAAGGAAGCAGAAAAGGCATTAAGTGGCTTTGAGGAAAGAACTCAGAAATGAGAAAACAAGGTGCCCAGAGAACAGCAGCAGGATAGCAGGACAGCTGAACATCGTCCACTTGAGTTTGGCCGAGTCCACCTGCCCAGGTGTGTGATTCTCTCTGACACAGGAGCAGGTACAGAGAAGGCAAAGTGGTTGAATTTTGTCAGGTAGAATGTCCACACCTGTGATCCCAGCACTCTGGGAGGCTGAGCAGGTGGATTACAAATTCAAGCCCAACCTGGGCAATTTAGTGATTTACAAGACCTTGTCTCAAAATTTTTAAATAAATTCTTAAAAAGTCTGGGGCTATAGCTCAGTACAAAGGCCCAATACTTGAAATAGATAAACAAACAAACAAACAACTCATCCTGTAAAATTTAAAGCTACAGGAGCATGATCTCATATTACCAGGTGATTCTGGTAAAGCTCAATGTGTTAAAACAGTTTGTATATAGTGAGTCACCTACAAGTGGCAAACCTAGGCCCAAAACTCAGACAACTGTCTTCTAGACTGTGTTTCTGTTTGTTTAAATCAAATTGCTACCTCCGATCCTTTTCCCTTTACTTGATGCTTTCAGCTTTTCTGAAAATTCATGAATTGTGAACAATCATTGTTAATCTAGGTCAAAGGGTGACAAAATCCCCACACAGGTAAACTACAAGAAATCATTAGTTCGATGAATAAATGTCTGTGTGGATAATATTACACTCTCTGGGAATATCTTCATTTCTTGCTCATGCAAGAAGATATCATTTTTAGGATCATTTTTGCCTCTAAATCTGCAATAGTATTATCTAATAGGAAAAACGTGAGAGCTACATGTACAATTTTGAACTGTTAAGTAACCACTTTAAAATTTTAAAAGACACATATGAAATTAAGTTTAATTATATATTTTATCAAGTTCAATTATCTGAATATGAGTTCCGCATATAATCAAATATAAGAATAATTAGATATTTGACACTTTTTTCCTATCAAGCCTTCAGTGTGTGTTTTAAACATACAACCCAATTCCAGCTTAGCACATTTCCATCGTTCTAACCCCATACAACTACTCTGTTTTCATATTGGAAAGATTAGCCTTCTCTGGAGCCATTTGAGCCTGCACTAGAGAGTCAAATGCACTCCCTCTATCTGGGACCTGGACCTATTACTATATCTACACTCGGTGACATGAAATGGGCTTTGAAATTTTATTTATTTTGGGGGGTTGAAAATGACTAGTGTAGGTTCTGAGCAACTTTGAAATAATTCTAAGCAGCCATTGTGCAGAACCAGTGCTGAAACTGACCATAGGAAGATAGGATCTGTTACTCGTTCGCAGATAAGACTTCTTTGCTGTGCATGCCCTCAAGAAAATGGTGTAATTGGAAAACTCTGAAGTGATTATAAGTCCCAAGTAAATACAACTTTTTATACTGCACAGAAATATTAACATTCTTACCAGGAACTAAGCTGTCCAATGTTGTTGTTCTTATTGTTCAGGCAATAACTTTGATCAAAGGAGAGAATTTAACCCTGGGAAACTTTTTAAAGTCCTGCAAAGAATCCACCACTTGCATCTCTCTCCATCCTACTTAGCTCCTAAATTTACATTTATTTTGCTACTTAAAATGGAACAGTGGGAATTTGATTCTGACTGCCAAGCTCTTCCTGGCTCTCCGGACTCAAGAGCAGTGTAACCCAGACAAGTTCCTTGCCTTTTCTGTGCTTGACCTCATCTATCAAATGAGGGCAGGATCCAAGACTACTTTGAGGGTTACATGAGACACCACAAGTGTGCCGGGCAACACGCGTTCCACACTCGTCCTCTGTTCCCAGCAGGAACTCGTACCTATCTCTTGCCACCTCTGTGTGGTTCGTGAATAAGGGATGTGAAAATGTCCCAAGCTAGTAGTAGGCTTTCATCCTAATTTTATCTTCTAGATGAGGCATTTTTTGCATCCCTCCAAAGCTTGAGCACTAGTTCTGAGTAAAGGAGAAAAGGAAATATTTATAATGAAGCAGGAAGGGCAGTTTCAGCTGTTTAAACAGGAGCTTCCATTAGAGAAGTAATCCCGCCCTCTCCTCCTGTGATGCTCACCTGTCCGAGGTGACGACTTAGACATCTGCTGTGGGCTCCTGAGCGCTCCGCACGTGCTCATAACCGACACATCCTTGCCTGGAAGAGCCACAAGCTCTCCACCATCTTCCAACAAGACAGAAGGCCTGACAAGTTCCAGCAGTGACCCAAAGGCACACAGTGCCTACATTTGCATTACAGTTCCTGTTAGTTAGGCTACAGTGTCTGTGAGGACATCAGAAGTTGGGCCCGGTGACATGTGTGTGATCACACTCTCTGCCTGTCTTCCAGTTCCACAAGGAGAGATTCAAGATAGACATGCCGCACAGATTCAAAGTCTACAATTACAAGAGCCCGGCCTTCTGTGAGCACTGTGGGACCCTGCTGTGGGGGCTGGCTCGACAAGGACTCAAGTGTGATGGTGAGTCCAGTGGGAGGTGCGCACGGTCCCCCTGCGGACCCCTGAGGTGACTGCATGGTGCCTTAAAGAATGGGAAGGAGGTGGCAAGGGAGGACTTCGACTCCAGCCCGATGTGACCGTGACCACGAACGCCGTCTTCCCGGGACAGTACATCCCTGCTGCTCCTTTCCTTCTACCCCACGGCACCCTCGTCTTCACAGCCCAGAAAAGTGCCCAGGAGCTCAGTTTCAAGGTCAAGTCTCTGGGCCCTCTGGCTTTATGTTGTACCCAGCCCTGAAGACATAAAGCCAGAATTTCCCCTCTGACTGAATTTCTCCCTCTGCCAAGACTCCGCTTCACTCTTACCTGACCTGCTGTCTCCTCGTTAGGATCTGACCTTCCTACCTCCAGCAAGTCTAGCTATCCAATGCTCCTCCCTTCTCCTTTGCACCAGCCACTAAGATTATCTCATTGTCCCTTCAAGGAGCCACACACACACACACACACACACACACACACACACACACACACACCCCATGCAGTGAGAAGCCAAGTGCAGCACTGACCACCCTTCTCCCTTGTCGGACCCTCCCCCTGGAGACTGGAACCACAGCAGAGCCCAAGCCTGCCACCAACCCCTGGTTATGGAGTTACTCAGCCCTACCCTAAAGAAACAAATCAAGGCATCCTTGCTTTAAAGCTCTAAGTTGCTAAGGCAGTAACCTTTAGAAACTGAGATGCTGTTGTGCCAGGATTAGGGAGCAGAGAGGGAAAAAATTCCAAGGAGAACTGACAAAACACTCTGCTTTCTGGGTGGCAGCAAGGGAGGGGAAAGGCCTGGATCATTACCAGAGGTCTCCTGCTGCAGCACAAACCTTCTTACGATAGGCTAGTAAATGTATTAGCCCTTTGATTCCTCCTTGTGGCCCTATCTTAACTCACGCTACTGGATCTATATTTCATCCCTTCCAAGTGCTAGAGGGGAGGACTGCCTTCTGCAGCCCATGGTGTTTATGTGCCCCGTGGAGTCTAGAGTGATGTCTTAGTGGGGGCAGGAAGGGTTGTTTCCAAAGCATTCCCCAAAGTGGCCACGGGTGGTCAGTGTGAGCCTCAAGGTTCCTTCACAGTACCACTCACGTACTTCTCTCAGCTCAGCTGCTCAAGAACACAAGGACACGCAGGGTGTTACGCAGTGCATCATAAGTTCTCAGGCCGGAAACGTCCTAGCATTCTCATGGGAGATGTAGAAATACGAATAAGTTCACGTCGGTTGTTACTCCTGTGATGGTCTCAAAGTCGGGCGCCATTTCTGGAGAGCCCGAGCGCTCACTTGCTAAGGCCGAGCTGGTCTTGGTAGCTGGCCAGAAGCTTAGAACTTCCCCGAAGAACCCTTGGCATTGTTTCACTCCCACTGCACTGCCTCATCCCGTTCTTTCTCGCGTTGCTTCCTTCCCTTCCGTGCCTTCCCCACCCCTCCTACCTGCTTCCAGAGCTCCCTCCCCTCTGTCCTTCTATCGCCACCGCCTTGCCCCTTCTCTCTCCTCCCTCCTCTTCCCTGTTTCATTTTCCATCTTCACCTCGAATCCCCTCCAAAACTTCCCTGACTCCTTAATCTATTCGTCTCCATGCTTTCATCCTCAACGCTTGATTCTCCTTTTCCTCTCTAGTGCTCTGTCTTTGGTTCCGCCTCGCTCTTATCTTACCTCCTTGTAAATCCCCTTCTTAGTTACGTAATTAAATAAGTACCTATTGGGCTTTATCCTGTCTTCTTTCTCCCTCCCCTGGCCTTCCCTCCTTTCCCTTCTCTTCTCTTCTCTCTTCTCTCTCCTTCCCTCCACAATAATTCCCACGAAAATAGTCATTAAAAGGGACTCTGCGCTCACAGGGATCGAGTAACCGTCCGGTAGGTTAGTGACAGAATTATGGCATTGCAGTGGGAACAGTGGCCTTTCCTCAGTACAGTGTCTGTCTGAAACAAGCATAGAGCTGACTACAGTTTCAAGAAGCAAAGTAAAATAGCAGTTCTGTCATGCTAAATTCTCAATAAATGTCTCACTTTGCATTATGGGGATAAGTAAGAAAATGTGGCTAGGGCCACCCAAGTTCAAACCTAACACCTGCTAAACAAGTCCAAAGTCAATCATGCTGACCATGCAGAATTCTCAGCACCACCCCTTACTGTATCAAAGATCTTAAACAGACATGAAGATTTTGCTTCAGCTAGGTTTTTGTGGCTATATCCATGTATATATATATTTGGACTAGTAATATAGTTATTCACATAGGAAATGCTGTATTGCTTTATGATGAACTATCTGAGGACATGTGAGCTAGTTAAAACAAAGGTTAGTGATGCCAGAATTTCTCCCATATATTATATCAATGCAATAATTAATCGAGATGAATGAGAAATTATATTTGCTAAACAGGTGTCTACTCCACAATACTCACTGTGCTAAGCTCTTTGCACACATGTGTTAATAAGCAGATGAAATTAAAATCTGCATGAGTTTATAGGTCCTACTAATTCTATTATAATAACCCTCCTTTTATACTTCCGTAGAAGCAAGTAGAGCTGAGACTAGAGCTCTATCGGCTGGAGTTTGGAAATCCTTATGTTTTTTTTTTTTCTTTTTTAATTGTGATATTTCAAAAGCAAAGCTTGGGTTTTATAAAACTTGTAATGTAACGTAACAGTTATCATTGCACAACTTCACAGGCTCACCTCTTCCCTCTCAATCCAAGGAAAATCCCTTGGTCACAAGAAGTGCAGTAGAACTTCATGGCGCTTGTTTCAGTTACTTTCTCATTGCTGAGACAGAGTACCTGACACCCACGATTTACGGGAAGAAAGGTTTATTTTGGCTCACAATTTGTAGAGGTTTTAGTCCATAGATAGCCTGCTCCAAAGCAGAGGGGCGTGGCAGAAGAGAAACAGCTCGTGGCAGGGTAAAAGGAAACAGAGCAATCAAAGGAGAAGGGAGGGAGACAGACCCTTCCAGGCCACGCCCCCAGTGACCCACCTCCCCTACCAGGCTTCGCTGCCCTACATCACCCTTAGTGTGAATTCGCCATTGGACCCAATCCACTGCTGAGTATCACTACCCCATGTTTCGGTCACCTCCCCAAAGCCCCACCTGTGAGCGTGTGAGGCTGTGGAGGGACACCTAGATCGATAAAAACCGTGACGGCACCGTTGCAGGACTCATCGTTCAAAGTACTCTCAGAGTCTGTACAGAGAGCATCGCTTCCGGACTCAAATCCTCCTCAGAAGCTCTGGGGACTTGTGCAAGGCCACGCAGGGTCAGCTCCCTGTGTAAGCGGTAACCAGCGCGTGTCTTCCTCCCTGACCAGTTCTTGAGTATTTCCCACTTCTCTTTCTTTGTCTTTGGAAAAAACAAAAATAATGTCATGACATACAAAGGTGAAAGATCTCTTTGAGTTACTTTCTATCATTATGTCATAAATGCACATTTAGGCTGAAAACTCAAGTGTACAAGAAATACCACTTTCTTTATGACCTTTAAATCCACATAACTGGGACTCTAGCAATTGTAGGGGTTCACCACCCTTCCTGTAATCGCACAAGATTTGCAGAGGCTCATGTACAGGGGACCTGCAAGCAGGGCGATGTCTTCTAACACCCTGTTGCCGGGTCCTGTTGGTGTCACACGCAAGCCCATTGTGAGGACACGTGTGGCTTGCTGTTTCTCCACCCCCTGGAGGTTTTGTGATTTTTGTCAAGGTTTGGGTCTTAACGCCTGGGTCCGGTCTCTCTAAATGTACTCTGCTGTGACCCTGGCATTGCCAGCCAGTGAAGAGCACCCCTTTGCTCCCAGATCCACAATCACTTGCTTCTGTCCCTTGCAACATTCAGCCAAGGGGAGGGGACATTGCCCCCCTGCCACTCTCAAACATGTCCCTGTCACTCCTCCTCACAGATACCTAGCTAGGAGCCTTCACTTTCTACCCACTCAAATGTGAGGCAAACAAGAAAGAGCGGAGCCAGGGAAGGAAATCCAAAATGAAATTTCAAAAGCTTGCTTATTGCAATTAGAAAATGTAGTGATAGTTCTGGAGAGGTCTGTAGGTTGTTTTATTTTAAGGAGCACTTGATCACTTCCGACATCCTCAAGCCCTGGCCTTTCTTACCCTGGCTTATTGAACTGACCATGCGAATTATGGTAGTATTTTCTGAACAAGGTTAGAAGGGCATCTGTCAATCAGAGTAGAGATGTTCATGAACCTTAGGAGAGCTACATCCTGAGGATAGGACCACGAGGATGGTGTGCACAGCATGGCTGACAAGGACAGGGGACAAGAAAAAGAGGTGGCTTTGTTAAGTCCCATGGCCAAGCTCTGATGAGGTCACAGTGTGGCTGGCTAAGGAAGTGTGGCAGTGTTCACACAGAAACGGCTCTACTATGTCTCAAGGCAATGAGAAGAAAAGCGAAAGGATCTTATACATTCCCTACTTTCTGTTAGTCTTTGTTCCAAAGAAAGCATATTACTTCAGATGAACTTTAGAAATAAAATAAATATTTTTCTGGGAGTTCCCAGAAGCTGCTGGGTCCCCACTCACCCATGTTGTCAGTTCTGTCCGCAGGAGACACAGCAATCCCGACAGTCCCCCTCCAGCCGGGGCTCAGCCCCATCACCACCAAGTCTTGTAGTTTGTTAACTGAACCTGTCCCCGAATTGTGCACGTGGCTCTGGGCCAATCTTCCTCCTCCCACTCCACTCCTTACACACACACACACACACACACACACACACACACACACGCACACACACACACACACACCATTTCCTCTATTCCATCTCACAGGCTGAGGCTGCAGCCAGGGCTTCAGCCTAGGAGGTAGAGAAGTTCATCACAGTGCGGTTGGGAAGAGGGACATTTAGCCTCCAGACTGGAGTGTGAGGTCACACTCCTCCATTCCAACACCTTGTCCTGCTGTCGGGAGGAACCAGTCTCGAACTGTTCCACCCAGCCATGGCCTGAGCCAGAGGTACAGTGGCCACAGACTTTCTTCCCTAGCTGTAAGGTTCTGACTCCCTGTCAAGAGGGACTGACCTCCCAGCACCACTGGGTACTTTCCCCTGCTTACCCTCCACTTTTTCCTTTCAGCTTGTGGCATGAACGTCCATCACCGATGCCAGACCAAGGTTGCCAACCTCTGTGGTATAAACCAGAAGCTAATGGCTGAAGCCCTAGCGATGATTGAAAGCACCCAACAGGTAGGGAGGGCATTGAGTGAACAATGCCCTACCCCATGTCCACTCAAGTCCTCACTCTGACCGCAGCAGCCCCCTAGAACTTCCTGGGATGTATTTCCAAGTGCTTTGCCTATCTTTCATCTTCACACCATGCCACTCCCTTTCAGAGTTTTATTTACGTCATGCACTTGTAGTGTGTGGGTCTTTGTAGCACCTTAAATTACGTATTCAATAAGCAGAGGCAGAAACAAATTCATTAAAGTTATTGAGAATTTCTTGCTGCTTGTACCTATACATTAGAGAAAATACTTATTTACTCTAGTAATAATTCATCACCAGAATTACCTCAGAACAAAAATCCATGAAAGTTTTTGTCTTGCTATTTACACCTCACCATTGGCTGGACTCTCGCATATAAAAATAAATCTTCTTTAACCCTTGGCATTGTCCACATAAGCTACTTTTCCCTTGACCTATTCTTATTGGCCACAGAAGGATGTAGAGGGCACGGGAGGTTCCAGGTGGCCCCCCCAAAAGAGGGAAGGAGCTAAGTACATTCTGGTGATGCACTAAATACCATAGACCCTCACAAGGTAAGCAATTCCCAAAAGGTGCTGAAGAGGAGCTTTTTTTTTTTTTTGTCCTGTGCCTTTAGGAATCTTAAATGGCTTTTGTCCTCTTAGACAACAGACTGAGCTAGCCCGTGCACAATGGGTGGGTGGTTTGACTCTGTTTGTAATTTAGGCTCGCTCCTTAAGAGATTCAGAACACATCTTTCGAGAGGGTCCAGTTGAAATTGGTCTCCCAAGTTCAGCCAGACCTGAAGCAAGGTCTCCATACTCGGCGACAACTGGGAAAAAAGGTAATTATCACAATGGTCCTCTGTGGGTGCACGGTGTGAATCAACTGTAACCTCAGTTCTCTGGACTGAAGTTCTCCGTTTACCTGGTCAGATAAGACATCCTTTCCTGTTTAATGATTATAGACCTGACCATCAACTAAGAGGGTCCTTCCTGCTTCTTAGAAGTGAAACTGAAATATGCCTCATGGAGATGTCTTTTATGAGGGGGTGAGAGATGGGAGAGAAAAAATAGGATAGATCTAGGGGCCAGGGATTTAGCTCAGTGGTTCTGCTGCCTGCCTTGCAAGTGTAAGATTCCAAGTTCAATCCCTGGTACACGCCCCCCCAAAATAGATCTGGAGGAAATAGCTGAAAGTGTTTTCCTAGAATTTTAAAATATTACTTCCTGTCCATGTTAAATAACTTTACAGAAATAAATCTATCCTAAAGCACAATGGTGGGAATATCACTGAAGATGTTCTTATTCTTGGGGGCGTCTTTGGAAATTTTAAGGGTAGAAAAAAGAAAAAGAGCCAGGCCAAAATCCTTAACATTTATTACATTCTGGAATTTTATCCAGTCTGCTATTTGAAGGTGGTACATGGGAGAATATGAACACATGGTTCTGAGACCTGAATCAGCATACATTATTAAGTATTTTCTTTGGACTTACGAGAGAATGTGAAAGACTATTTAAAAATAAAAGCAACGCTGTAATGGGAGGAATCTCCCCCCATTTCTGGCAGTAGGCAAGAACTAAGTGACATGAAAAAACTTAAAAGAAAGATTTAAATTAGATTTAGGAAGGGTCACCAAGCAGCGAAGTAGACTTCAGCTCAGCAGTGATCAGTGCAGGCAGCACCTTGATGTGAAGATGGCAATGAACGGTGCAGTTCACATCTTTAACCGTCCACCAGGCTTCATTCTCTCTGCCCTCCCATTGTGATTCGTAGAAATTAATGCCACTGGGCCTGTGAGCCAGGGAAACAATTGAAAATTATTTTTCCCTCAAATTTGATTAGATTTTCTCTTTATTCCTGATGTGACATTATTAAAAGTGCTCATTCACTTTGCATATGGGGTCTTTTGTTGATTGGAATTTGTTTCTTAAATGGAACTATTTCCCAGTCTGGCGGTTAAATGGAGATGGTCCACAGCCCAAAGGCCAGACTCCCAGACAGGCAGAGAGGTACTGAAGTTGCCTGAACTGTAGAAACCTCCGTGCCCTCTACTCAGTTATTGTGGACGAAGCCTCAGAATAAGAAGTACAAAAAGGAACAGATGCTCTAAGTCACTACAGTGACTCTCCGTCACTCCATGTTCAAGTTTGACCATTGGCTTGTCACTTTCAGAGCCTCAGGGAATCTCCTGGGACTCTCCGTTGGATGAGATGGGTAAAGTGTGCCATCCGTCAGAACCTGAACCAAACGTAGAAAGACCGACTCTGTACACGAAGCTAAAAATTGATGACTTTATCTTACACAAAATGCTGGGGAAAGGAAGTTTTGGCAAGGTATGTTACCATGCTGCAGGATTCTGTGGGCCAGATTTCAGAGACTAAAGAACTAAGCTCTTGGAACCAGAGTGTAGAAATGTGGCGAAAACGTTCCTGATATGTTGTAAGAGGACTGAGGGCATCTCTGAATAAATGGGGGCCTAGGGAGCTCTAGGGCAACAACAGCCTCCGATTCCTGCCAGTTTGCTTTGAGGATACATGCCCCTCACACTCATGAGATTGATGTCTCTGGGAACCAAAGAAACAGGAAGTTTCCTTGGCCATTTACTGTTTCATACACATCTTTTGTTTGATCTGTTTAGTTCTCTCTCTCTCTCTCTCTCTCTCTCTCTCTCTCTCTCTCTCTCTCTCTCTGTATTTCTCTTTCTCCCTCTGACCCTCTGTGTCTCTCTGTCCCATTCTCTCCCTCTCTCTTACTCCCTCTGCCTCCCTCTCTCTCTCTCTCTC